GAGGACCGATTACACCCCCAAGGCTTTGAGGGTAGTCAGATTTGCGTTCATCGCGAAGGCTGAAAAAGGCTTTCATATTTCGTCTTGGGATTTTATGTGTATATTGCAGACAGAATTGTAGCAGAACGAACAGCTATTAGGCTAAAGGAAACCGGGTCCTTTTGTGACATAAACTAGTAATTTTTAGCAAAAAAAAAAACCGACTTCAACTCTCATATAAAAAAAATATATATATATATATCTCATGATCCACTGATCGGATCTTAACCAGATTAGTATGGGACCACCTCTGAGACACTACCTTTCCGATGCAAAAAGAATTATCGAATCGTGGTCCAAAGTTATGCGGTAACATACATAAAAAAAAAAAAAAAAGATTCCGACGAACTGATAACCTCCTCCTTTTTTGGAAGTCGGTTAAAAAGGAAAAGAAAACGTTTTTTTGCTGCAGCAAATGTTTTTTCAGGGCACTTTAAACACTTTACCACTCAAGGGCTAGTGATGGGGGTTCTGACAGGCTATTGTGCGATTGGTATTCATGCGGTGGGACTAGGAATTTCGTCTGATCCTTTTGTATCAGCTGTCAAGAGGAAGATGAAGTGGAATCATCGTCACGCTTTCTTTTAGACTGTATAATCTTTGCGAGACTAAGATGGAAGCAGTTTGGCTCGCACTCCTGAACAAACACTGAGCTCTCCGGGATCGAAATTAGCCGCATTCGAAATTTCATAATCGGCTCGCGGCGTTAACTTAACCCAACCTTACCTGTACTTCTTTGAGCTATGAAATAGTTGGTCACATTATGTATGACCAGACCACCATTTATACTAGCTGCATTCTTTTGTAAGTGAGCGACAAAAGAACGCTCAACTCGGGTAAAATTTCCTTTTAGCTACTTAAGCAACCCTGTTGGTAGCTGGCAAGAAGATGTGATTAGTTTAACGGAATTTAGATACAAAAATAATATATAATATATAATATATATACTCATTTAAAATATAAGTCACGTATAAGAGGAAGCAAAAATTTCCCTCTCCACTTTCCCATTAACAATTCACAATAGAGCAGTTTTTTCACTTACCAACGCTAGCCTTCAGGTTGCGTATTTTTTAACCGAC